TCAGCTGCTGCAGGAGTTGTTGTTAATCTTAAAAACTGTTTCATGTATCTGACCTGGACTCAGGTAGAGTGAAAGAGGGCACTGGCCTGTGGAGGGCTGGGGCTGTGTGGCTCTCATCATCTCTCCACCTGGGGGTCCATGCCCTGGAATCTCATACAGGCTTGGCCCTGAGACTAGGGCCTCTGCCTCTCAGCGGGTGTTCCTGTGGGCACGAGTGGGAGGAAGGAAGGCTATGCATGAATCTGAACCAGGCTGGCTAGGCTTAGAGTCTTTTGTTTTTATTTTAATTAATTTATTTGGATGTCACCAAGTTTAGTTTGGACTACAGTTATTATTTTCTCCTGAGCCATTTGAGGTTAAGTGCATTTTCCAAATACAAGGTTGTTTCCCCACAACTGCTTAGAATGTCAATGTCAACAGGCCACAGTTGCCTCCAGACAAGAGCCCAAATCAGTTGCTACATACTCTGTTGTCTTACCCCCAGGAGCAGAGCTCTAGACTTTGGTAACCCTGTTCTAGGCTCTAGTTTCTGCCTGTTTGGTCTTCCTCTCTCTGGCCCTGACCTGGGAAGCCCTGGCTCAGATGGTCTTCTGACTGAGGGTCTGGCCAGGCTGGGGGTTGGAGGGCTGGCCTGGAACCCTCTGGGCAGGCTGTCTGATGAGGATAACTGTCTCAATCTCAGGTGATCTACGCAGATGGTGCTTCTAGGCAGTAGTGAAGAGCAGTCTGCTCTGCTGAGGAAACAATGTAGCCAGTGCATGAGCCACACAGCCAAGTGCAGAGTTTTCAGTAGCCCATCCAAGAAGATGGAAAAGCAGCAGGGCAGACCCAGAGCCCCAGGCTCAGGAGGCCCAGGATCTGAGACCACCTGCTCCAAGGCTCCGTCCCCCAGACAAGGGAAAAGAAATGGGTGAAGTTACCCTTTATGTTTATTTTATAAAACATTCTTTCAATGTACAGTCAGCACAGACATTGTTGGACAGGCCTATTCATTGTGCTAAGCTTTTGGAGTCATCAGGTGTATACTCTCCATTCCTGGTTGGTATGTGGGGTTAGCATGCTGGTGGGACCCTGGCAGAAGAAGGAGCCATAACTGTCTAGGAAGGAAGGGCCTTCAGGTTTGAAAACAAGCATGTTTGTGTGATTCATGGGGAAAGAGCTTGGCAGGTGCCTCTGCCCTTGTGCTGCTGAGCCTGGTTCTTGGTCTCCTGTACAGAGCCCTGGTCAATCTTTAATTGTCCAGCTGGGGACAGAGTACTGCATTTCCTGTTTCTTCTGATTGGTTTAAAGATGTCTCCCTTGATGCTGCTGTCCCCCAGGATGGTGGGAGCTGTTCTGGAGTGTTGACCCAGGGGGCTGTGATGACTGCAAGGCCATGGGGATGCCCAGTTTTGGGTGAGAATCACCTTGTGGTCTCATTAGGTGGCCTTGTTCAGTGAAGCTCAAGGAAAGAGTGGCCGGTGTTAGTTGCAGCTGATGGGAATTCATCTGGGCTCTCCCGAATTCACAGACTAAGGTGTAGGCTCTGGGTGGCCAGCTGAGCTCCTTCTCTCTCCAGTCCACGGTTCCAGACTTGTGCCACAGATGATATGGGACAGCATGGCAGCCACAAGAAACCTTTCTGAGCCTGGAGGCTGTGGGTTCTGCCGTGGTGGGGCTGAGTACTTCAGGGGACTGGAGAGAAACATGCCACAGTCCCTTGCCAGGTCGAGCTTTGAGGTTCTACATATGGTGCCATGCTGTCGTCAGGGTGGCCTGTCCTTACCCAGCTCACCACCTCTAACAGCTCACTCTCCTGGGTCCTACTTTGTGTCTGTGCCATCAGCCCCTCCCCACCCCCACCCCCCACAGCTTCTCAGAGGTTACTGCCACAGCTGGTTGTGGAAGGCCCCTGACCTCTGCTGGCTAGGAGCGGAACTGTCATTTCTGAGAACTCGTACACAGTAGAGCCCTGTACCTTGCTCTCCCCCCTGGGTCTGGGGTTCACTCAGCCTTTTCAGTGGCTGATTGTCATTGGCTTGGACTTTAGGCGGGGGATGAGAGAACCCAGGCCTTGTCTGCCAGAGTCGGACTCTGCTGCTATCTGGAGGATGTGACTTGTTCTCACTTTGCTCCTGCGGGAGCAGGAAGGCATTGCCTGAACTGGCACAGACAAGCCACACGAGGGTGCTCGTGGGCTACCGTAGGACCACGGGTTGTAAACCACGGGTGTTGAAACTGCCTTGTGTAACTAACTGTGCTGTCTTTGGTGGCATCTCAAGGTGGTATCCACCACTGCCCTAGAGATAGGCTATTGAGGGTATACAACAACCTCAATGACAACAATAAAAGTGCCCTTTCCTGGTCTTGGTTTCCTTCTGTGCTCAACACTGTGGTAAACCCCGAGTGTCTCTCCGTCATAGCAGTGTTAGGACAACTCTGAACTCAGGGTCTGCTCATTGGGTCCAGGATGACTGGACTTGTCCTAATGACATGAGGATGCTGAGTTTTCTTCCATGTGCTTCTTGGCTACATTCTGTCCATTACTTTTGCCCATTTTTTTTTTTTAAATTGGGTTGTCCATCCTGTTGCACATCATAGATTCTGAATGACATTAGGAGTGACATCAGAGCTTTCAGCAATGCTTGTTTTACATTATTAAAGCCTCTTTACTGTCTGTCTTCCTTGGGGTACTGTGTCTTGCCTGTCATCCTCAAGTTTTCTCACAGCCTCTCAGTAACCAGTTGTCCCAGGAGCCATCCCTTGTCCCTCATCTGACCCTTGCTACCTTCAACAGGACTACCCCTGGCCTCCAGGTCTCTGGTCACCGCATGCCACATGGGATGATGTTGCATTGGGCCGATGCTTCTCTCTGGTGATCTTTTGGGAATCTCTTTACCTCTGAGGGTTGGTTTCGCTCTCCCTGAAAGTGTTGGGACACTGCCCAGGGTGGCAGTGCAGCCTGGGTACTCCCTGTGTAGTTCAGGACAGTTCTGCTTACACCTGCTGCCCCAGGGCAGGCTCCTTTCATGATTGGGCTTCTCATCTGAGGGTCCAGTGCTTGTTGCCTCTTAGACCATCAGGATGCATTGGAGCTGTGGAAGGCTCTAGAATGCAGAGAAACTAAAGCCATATAGTCCATGAGCCACCAACACTTGAGAGCCTTGCTGTGGATGACACATGGTGACATTCCCAGTTCTCTGTGCACAGCTTTAGCCCTATCGTAGGCCCCAAGTCACATTTTTATTGATGTGTTCATAACACATCTAGGCTGTCAGGGCCACATGTCTGTTGCTGAGGCTCAGGAGGGGGACCTCTGAGACCCCCAAACCCAGAAAGGCGGGTCTTTATTGTGTAGTTTCTCCTGGGTTCAGGCTTCAGTGAGACTTGTAACCTTGGACAGGGTGGTTCCCTTGTGTCTCTGAGTCTGGTAAGTGGGGTGGGTATGGGACAACATTACCTCCAAGCTAGACAGTGCGTAACCCACATAAAATGCCCTTTAGTGCAGGTAACCTGGTCAGTGTGTGCTCTCTGGGGGTTCTCCAGATTACTCCTTTTTGGCCTAGTCCACCCCCAGAACTAAAACGGAACTTCTGGGGTAGTGTTAGAAATGGCCTTTCTCATGTGCTGAGTGAGTAACTGGGAGGAAGTTAGCTAGCCCCCCCCCATACACACCATACACACATACCACACATACCACACACACACACACACACACACACACACACACACACAGAATTTAATGTGTAGCACAGGGAGATGGTGACCTGCTAACTCACATGCACAGTTTGGATGCAGAAGGCAGAAATGCTGATGCAGGGTGGGCTGGACCTCTGAAAACCTCTGGGTCTCTGCAGCTTTGCTGTGGCCTGCATGTTAAGGTCAGTCCAGTTTCCATTTACAAAGAGGGATAACTAGTCAGTAACTCGCTAGCCGTTTTCCTTATGACAGAATGTATTCAGTGTGCTGGGGTTTAGCTCAGTGGTAGAGCACTTGCCTGGAATGCTTCCCCAGCACCAAAAGCAAAGCAATGACAAAAATAGAAGAGAAAAACATCCCACCACTCCATTGAAACAGCCACACTTAGCAGAACTCACGCCCTGGCATCTCTGGGCCCTGCCCACTTACACCTGCTGGATGTTTCTGTCTTGCATTTGATCTGAGAACCAGGTCAGACATAGCCATGCCACATCCTGTCTTATGCCAGGTTTCCCCTTCTCATCTGAAGCTTCTCTGCAGCTGCCACAGTCTCCAGGTCCCCTGGAGTGTCATTTAGTCCATTTGTGTGATTGCTTGTGGATATTCCACAGAGTCTATCATGAAACAAGACAGGATATTGTTGTGGCAACCAAATATGAAGTAATAGTACTGTGTGTTGACTGAATCCCTACTGTGGGCTGAAAACACCATAAGGCTCATAGACTGATGCATTAACCCTTAGACCAGTCCCAGGAGGTGGGTACGTTAACCAGCGTTAGCCAGAGTTATAGTTAATGGTTAATTCAATCAGAGTTACAGAGGGCAGAGCTGTAGTTCTAACCCAGGAGTCAGATTCCAGAGGCTGTGGTACAATATCCTGGGCTCCTTCCTAGAACTATCGGGATGAAGTTAAAGGACTTGGCATCCTTTCTGTTGGCTCAGTATTGGTACCAAAAGTCTCTGGAATTGCTTTTATCAGAATGCTCTCATCTCTCCATACTGACCTCAGCCTGCTCCCCTCCACCCTGACTGCTTGCTCACGTCTCTTCTCACACGTGGAATTTGAGCTATCCACATCTCCTGCACTGATTGACCTTGACCCACTCAGGTCTCCTCCCATTGGCCTTGACCCCTTTGTATTTTTCTCCACACTAACCTTGGATTGTTCTAACCCATTCATTTCTCCTCACTATGACCTTGACACGTCACATGGTTCCACTACCCATACTGACTTCACCTGCCCATGCCTTGTTATTTCTCTCCCCATAAGCTCCAATTTGCACTCCCAACTGAGTCACCCCCCTCTCTCTCTCTGTCCCCAGACTTTGATACTCACCATTTCTGGCATTGGAGCAGCTTTGCAGACTATGTGCAGTGTGTCCTGGCCTTCACAGGTGTGGCAGGCTATGTCACCTACCTGTCCATTGACTCAGCTCTGTTTGTGGAGACGCTGGGTTTCCTGGCTGTGCTGACTGAGGCCATGCTGGGTGTGCCACAGCTGTATCGAAACTACCGTCACCGCTCCACGGAGGGCATGAGGTAAGGGTGTTCCTGAGGAGGTTCCCACGGCACTCACTGGGGCTATTGGGCACTGACAGTATGACTGAATCATGCTGCTTAAGAAGACTGGGCCTTGACTCTTGTCTGAGAAGATATTTTTAGATGGGGCCGGGGAGGGAAGCAGAAACCCTCTGTGGAGATCATGGTCCATCAGAAGCTGCAGCTCATTCCTGGGACCAGGGATTGAGGAGCATGGTACCCAGCCAACTGGATGTGGCAGTGCAGGTGGCCTTACCAAAGGTGCCTTAACTATGACTTTTTCACACTGGGACTTGCCACAGTCTAGAGAAGGGGTATAGAGCCGTTGTGAGGGTCATGCTAAGAACTGTGTGGAAACATCTGTATAGCATAGGACAGTCCCCAGAGACTGCTGGGAAGTCTCGAAGGAAATAGCATTCACTGAGCACAGGTCAGTTGGTGGGGAGCGGGGAAGAACACGGCCATGGGTTTAATTGGACACCATCCTTGAGGAAGCCATTTGCCTGCCTTCACACAGAGACCCTGCTAACTTCTCAGAGACCCCGCCCACGTCTGTGACTCCCTCCTACTTCTCCCTGAGACCCTGGCCACTTCTCACTAAAGTCATCCCACAGCTTGTGGAAGACACTTAGAGTCCCCCTTTCTCTGAGGGTTCTCTGTGCCCTTGTGTATTGTGGTGGCCCTTTAATGTCATTGGAATCACAGCATCCTGTTTTGTTGAGAAAACTAAATCCTGGAAAGAGCAGGCTGACAGTGGATAGTGCAGAGGTTTGGGGTCACGCCGGAAACTGTGTTTCAATAGCTCTCAGCAGTTCTTTTTATTGGATGCAGGATTGCAAGTTTGAGGCTTATGCATACATGTGTAGAGTGAAGGCACACGTGAGGTGTGGGTTCAGGTATAGAGTGTAGGGCAGGGCAGGGTGAGGGGAGTTAGTGCCATTTAGGCTCTAACAAGATACACAGATGTGCAGGGCAGAGGTAGGTTGACAGTTGTGACCACAGTGAGTCCAGTTTCCTAAATGAAGGTGGATAGACCCCTGAATTAGGCCTTGATTTTTTTTTTTGTTTGTTTGTTTGTTTTAATGTCTGGTGGGGTTGGAGCCATGAAGATCCCGAAGCTCTGGCTTGGGGCTGGTGGATATACAGGTAGAGCTACAGTTCTGAGTCTGTGTCAATACTGGGCACGGAGGAAAAGCCTTGGGGTAACTTCTGGAGGCCGTTAACTCTTTGCTGTTGCTGTTCCAAAACTTGAGTGTTGGTGACCCATTTTCATCTGACAGCAGAGATGTTTTAGAGAAGGTATCTTAGGGCCAAGGAGATATAGGGCTTCCCGCTAGCATGTCTTCTTGGGGCAGGGTGCTAGGTGCCTTCATGTGCACAGAGGCACTTGCCAGCCAAGCTTCCATTACTGAAGGGGCGGATGCTATTATTAGGATTGCCCACCAGGAATCCTAGTTGCGGGTGTCTCAGGCCCCACCGTCTCCTCACTTTTTCCAGATGGAGTGCTGGACTACCCCAAATCTGGGGATTGTGACTCTTGAAGCTGTGGAAAGTGCAGTTTCAAATACATTTAGAGTGTGGGTGCTTCTTGTGATGGAGTTGAAAGTGTTGTGTTTAAAACACGTGCACACACATAATCACTTAAACACAATGAAAGTAGAGGCTGCTGACAGGTGGTAACATGACCATGTAGGTTTTATTACTTTACTCTAAGGACCTGCTCACACCCTTGCACCATAATGGGGAGGGATCTACCTTGGGACCTCCACCCAACTCTCCTCTACATATGGGTCCCTGGGGCTGGGAGTCAGGGAGCAGGGGCTCCTTCAGAGCAGATTTTCTGTGAAGTCTTACTTTACACATGTGTACAGATGAGCATGCATACACAATCCAACAGGCACATACGCAGATTTCCTACCTTGGAGCTACTGATGGAGATATTTTTGAATAATTTTCCTCTTGAAAAACATTGATTGGCTGTGGTTCTTGAGCCAGGGATGAATGATGATATGTTTGGAATGACTTTACTAATTAATTCAGTGAACTCCGCAAGGCGGATGGGGGGGGTATTTGCATTCTTCTTCCTCCAGGTTTTTACTAGATTTGAAGACTGTTCCCTAACAAGTAATTACTGGAGAACAGGGGTGGGTGTAAAAGATAAGAGCGAGCCAAGCATTAGGCAACCTTCAACAGCATGGAACAGGAAGGAGTAGCTGGGGAAGGCACTGGGAGTACAGGATGGGGAGACAGAGGCATTGCAGAGCCCGAAGAGTCTAGCAGGGAAGGTGCTTAGAGGCAGGGCCCACATGAGGGAGGGTGGAGGCCATGTGAGGACAGGATGAAAACATGGACAGTTAAAAGTCAAGGAGGCTGAGCAACCGGCCAGGTCATTCTGCAGGATCCAGTTAGGACTCTGGGCTCTTGCCATAGTGACATGCTCCCAAAAGCTGGGCTTTGCTTCACCAATGATCCTACAGATCTAGCCTTGGTCCGCTGAGCAGGCCCCTTGCATTTATAGCCTTCTGGGAAACCCAGCATGCTTCTTCTGGGACATGTTTTTGTCACTGCCAGACCTCTATAATCAGCCTGTGTTGTTTGTTCATTCTGATAGCTCTGTGAGAAGTACTGCTCACAGTGCCCACGGCAGAAAGGGCAGGTACCACCCACTGGAACATACCATTCATATACCACAAGTCACCTGCTTGCAGAGTACCTAGTGGTGCATGTTAGTGCAGGCACAGGCTGTAGCCAGCACCCTGTTCTAGTTTTGGAGCAGTTTCCTCATGGTAAAGGCTGAGCAACTTGAACTCTTTAGTAGCCATGCCCACCTGAGCCAGACTCCTCCACACCTTTTACCTGAGTTCTGTCTTTCCTGATTGGACTGCTTTGGTCATCACATACCTGTGGAATCATACAGCGTGTGGCCATCTGTGTCTGGTCTGAGCTTCATTCCTGTCCATGATTTGATTATGTGGGTATACCAGATGTCTATGTTTTCAGTTGGTGGATGCTGTGACTCATGCTCTCCTGGCTTCATGCACAACTTCAAAACACAACGTACTATGTTTTCATTTACCAAGAAAGCATGTAGGGCTGAGCATTGGTGGCGCACGCCTTTAATCCCAGCACTCGGGAGGCAGAGGGCAGGCGGATCTCTGTGAGTTCGAGGCCAGCCTGGTCTCCAAGCAAGTGCCAGGATAGGCTCCAAAGCTACACAGACACACAGAGAAACCCTGTCTCGAAAAACCAAAAAGCATGTAGACATAGAATGACTAGGTCACATGATTGTTGTGGTATGTGACCTCTATGAAACTACCAGCCTGTTTTCCAGAGAGGCACATTTCCACATTCCACCTGCTGTGTGTGTGGTGAGGTGGCTGAGCCCCATAGCTCTTCTTGTTTGTTCTTAATTCCTAACATCCTTCTGGGTGTGAATGAAGTGCTTGGCTTTCACTGACAATTAAATGACGATGAACATCTCATGTAGACCTGGCTATGCCCTTGAAGAAGTGTCTCTTTGGAATCCCTACCCATTTTAGAATGTGTATTTGTAGTGTTTTATACTGAATTTTAAGAACTAAAACGTTCTATTCTGGGTATTAGAATCATATCAAATATATGATTTATAAATATTTCCTTTATATCCTACTCTGGCTTGTCTGCTTACTTTTTCAATGTTGTCTGTTGCAATGCCTATGTTTCAACCCTAGGGGATAGGAATGGCTCTGTTGGTAGAGTGCTTGCCTGGCATGCTCTGGAGGTTTGATCTTCAGTACCACACAAACTAGGTATGGGGTACACTCCTGTAAACCCAGCATGTGGAGGCAGGAGAATTATGAATTCAGGGTCATCCCCAGCTATGTTAGGACTGCAAGGAAAGTCTAGGAGACTTAACACCCTGTCAGCTTTGGTGACACGGAGTATATCTGCTTTGTCTTTTATTGTTTTTGGTGTTCCATTTAAGAGAACTGCCTAACCCAGGGTTACAAATCACCTCCAAGGGGACATGGCTTGGCTTGATGTCAGTCCTGGGGAAGCTTTTATAGGTGGCGGTGGTGGTGACTTGGTCCTGGGCTGCGGTCAGCGTGTCAGTGGGCTGACGAGGGAAGGCAAGATGAGCAGGTGCAACAGTTGGTTTTACTGTCCTGGGTGCCAAAGAGAGGCACCCTGTCGGCTGCCCAGGGCAAAGATGAGGTGAGGAGGTATTTTAAGAGCAGTGATCTGGCAGCCTGGTTTGGAAGAAAAATGCTGGAGCCAAGAATGAGGTAATGGGAGCCTAGATTAAAACAGTGTGGGAGGACAGGAGGGTCAGGCCAAGAGGCCCATTGAAGAGAGAGCAGTCAGCTCTGGGCAGAGAGGGAGCAAAGAGGGAGCCGCAGCTGTGCCTAGGCCTCCATGTGATCTTGATCTCCCTCTCTCTACTTCCTGATCTTCAGTATAATCTTGAAGTAGAAAATCTAGGCTTCAGGGGTGACAGTCTGCTCCACACCCACACTGGCTTTGCTGCAAGGCTCGCTCCCTACCTAGGAGAGCAGATACCTTGCACTCTGGGTATCTTTTGGCTAGACCCTAGGCCAGCTGTTTCCTCCATCCAAGGATGAGTGACAGACTTCTTGGGATGCAATGTGTCTCTACCCCTCACTTCCCCATGCTGCCCTTGGGCTCCATTTTTCTTCCTTCCCCTTACCCCCTTTGAGACAGGGTCTCTCTATGTAGCCTAGAACTTGCTATGTGGACCAGGCTGGCCTTGAACTCGCAGAGGTCCTCTTGCCTCTCCTCCTAAGTACTGGGATTAAAGGCATACATCATCATGCTTGCCATGTTCAACACTTGATCCTCCTGCCTTAGCCTCCTGAGTGCTGGGATTTCAGGGGCAGGGTTCACTGTTTGCACATGCAGGTGCCACTGAAGTAAAGGATTGGGGAAACCCCAGTGTGGAGAAAAGCCTAGTGTTCATTGCCTCAGAGCAAATGAAGCATTAACAGTTCCAGGAAACTGACCCGTGAGTTTTCCCTGTGTCCAGAGGCCCTGTAGCTTCTGATGTGTAGACCGTGGTCTCCTTTCCCCCTGCTACCTCTCTGAGCCATTCAGACTGTGTCAAAACATCAGCATGTTCCTGTCCCGGGAACAGAATGGCGTTGACGTCACCAACAAGCTATCTTTCCTGGAGGATAGAGACCATCCAAAGGAAGAATCCAAGAGCCTAAGAATATCCTTGGCACTGGGCAGTGCCATGCTCCAGGGATTACCTCATGTCTCCACTTGCTGTTACAGACACAACTATGCACTTGGGGCCAATGGGATCTTAACAGTGAGGGCACTGGGCAGGTGGCCTGGGCAGGGACAGGTGGTCTGAGGCTAAGGCCTATAGCTGTAAATCCTGTGCTGCGGCTCTGTCTCTGCCAGACTGTGGAGTTGAGCCCAAGGGATCCCATACCCACTTAGTATGTGACATTGGGTGAATTATTTAAACACCTTCTCTGTGTGTCTAACTGAATCACACACACAGGTCACCTCTGCATGTTTTGTCCCAGCACATGCTCACCAGGCACCTGTGACTCTGAGGGCAAGTTAGTCACCTTTGCTGCAGGGTCTTCCTAATCTATGTTGGTTTATAGAATACCCACATGGGTCACAGCTGGTTCTGGTTTCTGTCTAGGCCATGGCATGTCTGACCAGGGCTTTGGGTCACTGACTTAAAGGCTGGTCCCTGAGAGTCCAGCACCTGCTTTCTGCTTGGGATAAGTATAAAGACATGACTGTCCAGGCATTTCCTGGGGTCCCGGACAGGTGTGACTTGTCCCTGAGGCCTCTGGAAGTTTGACATGCCTGCCTGCCTGCCTGCCTGCCTGCCTGCCTGTCTGTCTGTCTGTCTGTCGTAGGGGGATCCTGGGCTCTGTTTGAGAGGTGGTGAATCAGATGTGGCCCACCTAAGCAGGGGAATGATCCCAACCCTTCTCATGCTCTGCTCCTCTATTGGGGACTGGAGCTCAGGTGTGAGGGCGTTGTTGCATGCACGGGTGATCCAACAAGACCCAGAGTTCATTCCTACCACCTCCATCTATTACCCTGGGTGTTCTGAGCCTACTGGTTTGGCTTTACCTGATTTTTAAAAATAATTTATTTTTATTTTATGAACATTGATTGATGTTTTGCTACCATGTATGTCTATATGAGGGCGTTGGATCCCCTAGAACTGGAGTTACTGGCAGTTGTAAGCTGCCATGTGGGTGCTGGGAATTGAACCTAGAAGAGCAGCCAATGTTCTTAACTGCTGAGCCATTGCTCTAGGCCCTGACTTTACCTGATTTTAAAATGAGAACTAAAAGCCTTATTTCTGGGCTTGACTCTCACAGAAGATCCTATAGGCATCGTTTCCTGTTCATTTGGTGTTGTAGGATTATGAGGGACATTGCCACTTGCTGAGAGGTGAAATCTGGCATTCCTGGCCCTAGATATGTCATGTCATACATACTGACTTCAGTCACCTGTAGCCCCAGACTTGTCCAGCCACATGTGAAACACCAGCCACTAGTACCCTCCATATGGCTCCACATTAGTATACCCATCATGGGTCTTTTATCTGGATTGTGTATGTGTGTGGTGTCTTCTCATAATTGGTTTTCCAGTAGTGTGTGTTGGTTTGCTTTGAGACAAAGTCTTGTAGTTGAGGCTTATCTTGAACTCCTAAACCATCTGCCCCCACCATCCGAGTGTCACCACACCTGGGTGTGCTGCCCCTTTTGTTCTTGGGCATCTGAGCTGCAGCACTGGGGTTGGCATAAAGAGACAGCCATTTCAGGAAGGAGTAAGATGGTGTCTCCAGGAGGAAGGAAGCTGGCATACTGCAGAGAGGTGGCCAGAGAAAGCGGATGTGTCTTTAGCGTGTGGGGTGTTTCCTCTGCATAGTGTGTTAGGGGATTTGCAGCTGTCAGCAGCAATCTACTGTCTTCCTGGGGGCACCAGGTGCAGCCTGCACACTTGGGATGCATGCAGTTAAAGTTAGTGCTGTAGGTTCAGCTGCCAGGAAAGCTGGGCTTGTTTGCATTTATTATGCCGCAAAACAGTTATGTCAGTCTGTGGTCTCCAATGTCATGTGAAGACAAGGGATGTGTGGGGCAACAGGCAGTGGCCATTTCTGTTTCTCTAATGGAAATCTCTCTTGAGAGAAGGCCCCAGGGCAGCTACTTTATGCTTTTGTGTCCTGCCTCTGCCTTCTCCACCCACCCCACATCTGTAGCACCCAGTGTGGGAACCTCCTGGGCCAGGTTGATGAACCCTGAGGTCCTGGCCTCCCTGTGATTAAGCCATTCTCAAGGCCTGGCCAGAGCCATGGTCTGAGCCATGGTATGACCCATGGGTGTCAGAACTCCCAGGTCCTGGTGTGAGGTAGACCGTCCTCTCTCTGGGACCAGGGAAGGGTGCCAGGTGTGGTAGGTTGGACAGGCTTGAGTCAGGGTATTCCACCCCCTTCTGTGGTCCTCATTTCTTAATGTGCCCCCTAATCCTTTGTGTCACACTGCTGACATGTATATATGTCCTTCTGAATATATGTTACTATCATTGGGTCAACACTGACTGTCCCTTTGTATCTTTACAGCCTCAAGATGGTACTCATGTGGACAAGTGGTGACACCTTCAAGACAGTCTACTTCTTGCTCAATGGTGCACCTCTCCAGTTCTCAGTCTGTGGTCTACTGCAGGTCATGGTGGACCTGGCTATTCTGGGGCAGGCCTATGCCTTTGCTCATCACCCCCAGAAGCCAGTACCTCATGCAGTGCACCCTGTCAGTGCCAAGGCTCTCTGACAGGCATCAAGGGAAGACAAGGACATGTGACCAATCAGTCATGGGTGCTGAGCCCCAGCCTGTGCTTCTGCATTAGGGAGGCTGGCCCTGCGCACTCCACAGATGAACAGGCCAAGTGTGGGCAGAGAGATGAAGTGGAGTGCTTGTCCCCATAGCCTTCAGGTGGGGGGCCCTGGAACAGTGGAGGCTGAGCTGGCTTTGTGGTGTTTTCAAGGTGGCAGAAAAGGCAGGTGTCTTTCCTTACCTCCTTCAGAAAAACACTGGCCCGACCGTGAAATAGGTCCATAAAACTAAGCAAGAGGGCAGGCCCAGCAACACGCTGAGTCCCTTCCTCAGCCAGTTTCCCTCAGTGAGCCTTTTGTCTCCTAGAAGACCCTGTGGCGCTCTAGACAGTGTGTAGTCATGGCTTCTGATGGCTTGTCTGCCCTCCTGCTCTGTCCCACTCCCCTGTGGGTACCACGGGTGTGTCTGCTGCACCTGCTGGAGATGGAAGGTGCTGGCCTGACACTTGTCACTCTATTTTGCCCCTCTCTCTGCTCATCATGAGATCATGTATGCTTGGCAGCCTTGTGCAGAACCTGGCTGGTTCCTGGGTCCAGAATGTTCTAGATGCTTCTACATAAGTTTCTTCCCTTCTGCTGGGCAGAAGGTCTTCTTGTGCACACAGTGATGCCATCCACAGTCAGCACAATAGCTCTGGCAGTTATGGTGGCTCATCAGATGGCTAAAGAGTCCACACTGTGCCACCCTCAAGCTTCCCTCAGATATTCTAAGAGTGTGAGTGAGATTTTTGCTTACTCTCTGGCCTGTAAGATGCTTGTAAGATGTTTATTTTTTAAAAATGAAGATGTCTGTAGTGGTAATTACCTCCAAACTAAATGCCATTGGTTGCAGGCCTAGTTGCTGAATGAGCATACTCCATGTGGTGGTTTTAAGTCAATCAACAGCTTGTGGGTCCAGTAGGTAGGATAGAATCATAGCAGGTACACAGGGCAGGAGTGCGGTGAGATGTAGGGTAGAGGCTGGTGAGGGTGGTACAAATTTTTGGAGAAGGGTGACTGATACTAGTTTGGGAAGTGGAGACTGGTACAGGCTTGCATCAGGCTGAAAGGCTCATGTGGCTCTTAGGGACCTTGGTCCAGGTCTGGGTGGATGAGGGTATCTGTCTGGCATTTGAGGATGTAGGCTTCTGCGATGAAGCCAGAGATACACTGGGATTATGCTTTTCCAAGCTGTTGAAGTAGAAGGTTTGGGGGACCAACCAACTCTTTTTAACTGTGAGGAAACAGAAGCTCTTGAGTGAGGCACCTTTCTGTTCTCTAGCCTGGCAGAGTGTTGGTAGACTGCAGGGTCACTGCTTGCAATGCCGAGGCTGTGCCTCAGTAGCCTGGCAGGTGTCAGTACACACACACACACACACACACACACACACACACACACACACACACCCAAAGATAGTCATAGACCTTCTCCATCAGAAGGGAGATCCTATTCTTCAGGCCATAATCACTGCCTACCGCCAGTAGCTTTCAGTAAGGCCCCTGTGTGAGCTCAGTACAGGCCCATTTGGGACCCTTGTACCACAGGATTTGCAAGAATCTACTGCAATCAAATAAAAAGTTGCTAGCCCCTCCACACAGCAGTAAGCTGAGTTCCTCTTAGTTGGAAATCATTTATGTTCTGTGTGGTCCACGCTGAGCCTGGGGCTCCTAGAACTAGAAAGGGGGTTAGTTTCCTATGATTTGGGGGGGGGTTGGCAAATGCACACAGCAGGAACAGAGCACTCCAACCTTTGACTCTGCTAGCATCCTTGTTGACTGTACACACTGCTCTGACAATACAGTTAACCTGACCTTAAGTTGTCCTCACTCCCAGGGCAGGGGGTTATTTCAGGGTGTCAGGTAGAGAACTGAATCCAGGACTCGAATGGGCTTGGATGTCCATGGTATGGCTCTAACGGTAGGGGTGGCATGGAGTGGCAGACGTGCATCCAAATGGGCTTCACCTATCCAGGCACTAGGTATGAGAGAGGGTCCTGTGAAGCAAACAGGTAACTTGGTCTTGCCAGCAGCACTCCTCCAGGACCAAGCAAGGGATGGAGACCAGTGACCCAGCCAAGAGAATGTTCTTCCATGTCTCTTTAGAGCATCCCACCTTCTCTGGGATCTTTGTACAATCTCCTGAGACAAAAAGGGTGCACTGTTTTCATATTTAGAAAACAGTGGCTCAGGATAGGCCTGGCTAATCCTGGCTGAAACCTGGAGTCTGGCACGGGGCTCGCTGAGCCCCCAGTTGCAGCCACAGAACAGAACAGAGCCCACTTGTTGCTACTGTGCCCACATCCACCAAGACCAAAACCAACAGAGTTTTTAAAGATACCTTTAAAGGAATGGGGAAAGTACAGGATCTGGAAGAGTCAGAGCTTCCTCCAAGAGGGGGTTGGAGATGGAAGTTACCCTAGTGTACTCAGACCTGCCTCCCTGGCATGTATAACAACATGGGTAGACCTTGAACACACACTGAAGATGGGTCTGGGACTTTCAAGGTGAACTGCCCTTCCTGTAACAATGGCTTTGGGCTTGCTTAGGTCCCAACAGGGATTTTGGTACCAGCAGACAGAGGTCTAGCCGGAGGGAACCCTACTGTATCAAGCTGGCATTTGAAGTGGCCCCTTCCAGGGACAGTTTGGACTCCTGCTAGGCAGGTGCACTGACTTCCTCCGTGAAGATCCTAGGAGTAAACTTCAGATTTCTGTCCCTTGGAAGCCAGGGAAGCCATGAAGAATGAGCAAGGAACCCCTTGTCATTATGGCCAGTAACTAACAGCACTCTCAACCGGGGCACCAAAAGCCACCCTATTACCACATGGCAGGGGGTGACAACCAGCTCTGTTGAGAATGGTGTGGAGAGGACACATTCCTTCTGAGCTAGCAGACCACCGCTTTGGGCTTCTCTGCCTTTAGAGACCAGGAGGATTCCCCACCTAAAAACCTTCCCAGAAGGACATAGGGCTGGGCTTGCTGTGGCCTCAGCTTCTTTGGCATATCAGCATCCCAGCAAGGAGCCTTCCGGAGGTGGCTTCACCATCTTCTCCCTGAACTGCCACCTTACCTCACGAGGCCTCTCGCCAAGGGTTTTGTCTTCATTTGAGCCATGTCTGAGGGAAAGGTCCCAATGGAAGAGAACATCCCCTGGAAACAGACAACTGTACCACAGACCATCTGGGAGGGCGAGGAAAGGTTAAAAAGCCGCTATGCAAACCTTGAGCAACCTTATCACCTTTTTGAGCTGGTGTGGAGGAACAAAGATCAACGCTGAGGTTTCTCCTCTCCCGCTTGCAAAGAGTACTTAGAATTAGGGGGCTAAGTATCCCCTCAAACCTGTTTACCACTTGTCAGGTGGACACTGGCAGTGTCGAGTGCCCAGTAAAGTCCTCCTCTACACGGGGTATTGCCCACTAAGCGTCACAAGGTTGATGCTACCGTTTGTTTCCTGGGGCAGCCCTAGTTTAAGAGCAGGGGAGAACAAAAGTTGGCCTAGGGTGGTGGTCATTTGCTTCAGACTTGGAATTTCTGGGACTCGATTATTTTTAATTGGCCATAAAAAATTTAAAACTGGAGGGAAAATAAAAGGGGGAGAAAGACCAGGCTGCTATAAACTCCAGGCTACACGAAGCTCGAGGTTAGTTGGGGTGCCAGGCCGGCTGCAACGACATGCCAGACCAAGTTTGCGACTTTTGGATCAGCGGGTGCTTGGTGTCCTCCAAGACTTTGACCCCCTCATCCCCCGGAACCTCTCAGCAGAGCACTGGGCTTAGGGTCCCATCCGACCTGGTGAGCTTCCTGCTGCGCCTGCCCTCTCGGGGACCTGCGAGCTGTCCTCGGTGGCGCTAGCCGAATGCATGCTATCGTCGTGCGTGCTGTCCTCACGCAGGACCGGCTCAGGGCTGGCTGCACGCTGTTGCTGCTCCTTGAGCTCCGAGTAGGAGCGGGAGAAGGTGTGGAAGATGGAGGTGACAGGGAAGGCCATGAGTAGGATGCCGCTGAGGATGCTGCTCAGCGCCACCACCTGGCCCGGAAGGCTGCGCGGCACCATGTCTCCATAGCCCACGGTGGTCATGGAGATGACGGCCCACCAGTAGCTGGCGGGGACGCTGGAGA